TATTCCTGTATTAGAGGCATTTTTTTTTTCTCTTTTCATTTTGAAGGCCAAATCCCAACCAAGAAGAAAACCTGGATCTTTAAAATATGAACTATGGTCAAATTGTCATAAAGTTCACGCTGAACCTAATGACAATGCTATGAATCTGAAACAGGTATGTCTTTTTGTTTTTTACTTTGTAGGTCTAAAGGCTTATCTGAGTAGTAGTAAATCGGTATCTTTTCTGAAATGTTTGCTATTTGCCAACACTAATCAAGGAAAATAAGAGTTTTAGTCTTTTTTTGTAGAACTTTTTTTTCTGAAAGATTGTGTGGTAGTTCTTAGTGTTGGGACTGTCTTGTTTGTGAGTTGATTTAAGATTGAGATTCACACCTTACCCAGATTCTGGAATCTAGCAGCCCTGATTGTTAAAGGGGAGTGTTTATATTTCCAATACTTTCCTGTGCAAACCAAGGTATTTTTCAAGATAGCAAACTGTGCTATAGGCTTTCATGCCTATAGCCTTTTTTTTTTTTTTCTTTTTAATTAAACTTCCCTTGATGTGGAGACAATAAGTAGAGATGATTGTTAGGTTTTAAAAAGTTAAATGCTAAAATAATAGCCCTTTGTGTAAATTAACTAGTGGATGATTTTAAGAAGAGTTCTTGTAATGAATGGCACTAGTGAATGGGTTTTACTTTTTTTAAAATGTACTCAAAAAGCCTCAAGTTGAACGACATCCAGGAAGTGAAGATGGTGACAACCTTCATCCACCAGTCCTTCCAGCAGAGAGAGACCCTGAAGAAGAATTATACTTAAATGATGATGTTCTGGAAGTCACATGTGAACAAGTAAGTTCCTGCACCTTGAATATACTTATGTAGTAAATGTGTAGAGGAAAAAAAAATGCAGTAAAATTGTACTGACCTTTCAAGAGACAGTTCCGGTAACACAGCTCTTGAGCTTTATCAGTTCTATTAGTGTTTTTCTCCCTTTTTTTTTTTTTTTCTTTTTTTTTTCTTTCACAGGATGAAAGTAAAAAGGTTGCTATGGCATCCTGACACAAAAAATCCATTAAAATATATCTGCAAACTAATCTTCCCTTATAATAGTTAAGATAAAATGGACCTATTCAAAAAATATCAAGTCAGTATAGACAAATCTCTGCACTTAAAAAAAAAAAAAAAAAAAAAAAAAAAGGAGTTTAAAAAAAAAAGTGATGTTGATGGAACCCTTTTTAGACAATAAAGAAAAAAACATCATGACTGCTTTACCCATAAAAGATGATTTTACTCAGATCTTCTATTTTCTTGAACATCAGAGAATCCTTTTTATGTCAGAGTTTCTCTCTGCAGTTCCTGGTACAAGCTACGGGTGAGGTCATGACGCAAATTCGCTGTAAACCAGTTTCTGTTACTGCTAAAATTTATGTAGAATAGATTTTAAAAGTAGGTAAAATGATACAATTCTTGTGGTATTTCATGTCCAAAACATTATTCTTTCAATAAAACGCCTTCAAATGCTTCAATGATACTGAAATCAGCTCTTTTTTGAATCCATTTGAATATACAAAAGTTAAGTTTCATGAACGGCCTGTCACAGTCATTTGGGAAGAAAAAGTGTTCTTTAATGTGTCAGAATGCAGTTGCTGAAGTAGGGAGAAAAGAAAAAAAAAATCTTCATAGATCAAATAATGAGCTCTACTTATATGTTTAAATTGGATGACATGTATTCTTATCCATGTTTCCAGGTCTTAGAAGATAATTCTCAGATTGAGTTCCTTAAATGCCAGCTTACTGATTGCCAGGAAAAGCTTCATAAACTAGATTGGATAGAAGAGAAACTATCTGTTTTAGAAGACAGACTGAAAGGAAAGGTGATCATAGATGAGAAGGACTGGAATAATTTGTTGAGTCGAGTTTTGCTCCTTGAAACCGAGCTATTGCTGCAGTCGAAAAAGGTACACCAATTTCTGCCTTTCCTGACAGAAAGGACAGTAGTAATATTGACTATTTTCTATAGTGCTGTACAGCTATTACTAAATGGCAACAAAAGTCTTGCACAAATGCAATGCTTGTGGGCCTGGTTTTGTTCTTCCTTCCTCCCTCCCAACCTCCTGATGCCTTATCTGATGGATAACTTTGGCGTTTCTGACTCTGCTGATAACACTTCATCCCCCTCCCCTGTTTCCTCCTTAATCCCTACCACCACCTCTTTGTACAGTTGTGCTGTGGCTACGTTTGGTCTATCAGCAAATCAGTTACTGCATTCAAACTGTATTTTTTTCATGCTGTTGAAAGGTCGTTGTGTATGTGTACATGCACATTATATAATTTCATATGTGTGCATGTAAATATCTCAAGATCTTAACTGTAGCATCATACTTTTGAACACCTGTTTTATTTCAAAATGTTTTTACTTGTAGATCTCATGTATCCTTCTGATACTATACAAAGATCTCAAAAAATTGAAAACTCATGTGAAAATGCTTGATTAGTGTTTATATATATATTTTTTCTTGGTAGTTGTCTAAATGTTTATACTTGTAACCAGGAATTTGGGCTATGCTGCTGGCCCTGCAGACATGAAGATGTTACTAGCAGGAGACCAAAGCTGTGAGAGCTGGGCCTGTTTAACATAGAGAAGACTGAGAGGGGATCCTAACAGCAGCGTGCACAAATGCCTTAAGGGAGGGTGTCAAGAGGATGGGACCAGATTATGTTCAGTGGTGGCCAGTGATAGGATAAGATGCATCAGGCACAAACTGAAGTGCAAGAAATTCTGCCTGAACCTGAGAAAGAACTTCTTTACTGTGAAGGTGACAGAGCATGGGAACAGGCTGCCCAGGGAGGCTGTGCAATCTCCTCCTTGGGGATCTTCAAAACCCTCCTGGATGTGAGCCTGTGCCACCTGCTCTAGGTGTCCCTGCTGGAGCAGGGAGGGGTTGGATTAGGTGATCTCTAGAGGTCCTGTCTAACCTCAACCATTCTGGGATTCTGTAACACTTGTGTGTGTGTGTGTGTGTGTGTGTGTTCAACATTTTGCCTAGTAAGCCCACTTGGAAGTGGAAAGTAGTCAGGGTGATCTTTATTTTGAAAAAGCATAAAAGAATAACTGTTAGCTTTCTCATTTGCATTTTTTGGGGGTTTTAGTTATTTTGTTTTATGGTCATTAATGTCTCAAAAAGTTAAGTAAAGTTAGTTACCATGCAAAGTCAGAGCCTAATGGAGAAATACTATATCTTAATTAGTGGTGGGCATAGTTCCAAATAACATGGCTATTTTTAAGATTCTTTTGCTGGTTGTCTTAGGAGGCTTTCAGCTAAACAGCCATGAATAGATTTGGCCCTCTTATGTGTGCCCTTTCCAGAAGGTGGTTGCTGTGTTTATGGCATTACCGCTATGGGAAAGCCTGTGTTTCAGACTAGTCTCATTCTTTTATTACTTCTAGTAGTAACTTGAGCTCATGGAAATGCGTAACATGGTGAGATTGAGAGGTTTGAAATAGTATGAAATAGTTGCTACTAAAATTCTTAACATTACTATCAATCAAATATTCTTTTTTTTTTTTTTCTGTTCTGCATGTTCTGAGAGGAAGTCTGCAGAAACAAGCTTGGATTTAGTTTGTGTGTGGCATTGCTACTTCAAAGCAAATGAAGCTGGCTTTTATGTTTTTTAAAGTCTTCCAAAGTCTGAGTTGTTTGGAAACTGCCAAGAAAAAATCCTTTGGGCCACAAAATTGCTGTTTCTTTGTTTCATGGAAATCCATCCAAGTTGTGCTTCACAGATAGAGGAGCAGTTGAGAATTATGCCTTTGTTTTTACCCTTGCATTTTTCAGGAAACTTCTGTCGTTTAGCCAATGCAGCAGGAACACTCTATGATCCATCTTGCACAGCTGCCAAAGTAGCAGCAGCTGTGCATGCAGCTCTAGGAAGGTCTGAAAGCCACTAAATCCCTTTCACAGGAAGGGAACAGGCAGAAGAAGCCAGTGCAGAGATCTTTCCTTCCAACCTCTACATTTTCTTTTTTCCTTCTCATTTTAAGTGTTTTCTTTTTTTTTCCCCCCAGCTTCTTCCCATGTAATGCATGAAGACGTAAGGGAGAGAAAAGTATTGAGTGTAATATTACAGCTGCTAACTGGCATAGTTATTCCAGATTTAAGAGTCTTAAGATTTAAGGTTTGCAAGACTTTGCAAATCTCAATGAAAACACATTGGTGAAGAAAGTCTAGAGGTTGTTCTCTACAATTTTTTTTTCTTAATTTGGAGAGATGCACACACAAACATTTAGTGTTAGTACAACTTTAATTTTGCTTCCTTGCCTGTGAACAAAATGGCATAGAGCATTTAGACATGGAGATGGGATTAACCACAGAGCCATTCTTGTAGGAGCCTTCTCTCTTTGGGGAGCCTGGAGAATTAGCTGCAGATGGACTTCAGAGTTCTGAATGTTTAAGTGGGGGGAATTTCAGTTCAGATCTATAGCCCAATGTTTTCAAGGTTGAGGACTGTTGGGACAGACCAAGAACTTTCTGATCATTTGAATCATACGTGTGTTATTTGCACTACTTGGAAGCTTTTGACCTGCTTTTTAAGAACTATATATATATAAGTTGAGAAATAGACCTTTTTATAATGCAATATAACTATGTGTGTTTTAGTTCTTATAAGGGATAATGCACTTGTATTGATTTAGTACACACATACGTAGTTAGTATTTAATTTTTAAGCAGGATATATGACTAAAATACAGTAAATTGTATTGCAGAGTGACGTAACAGGGTTCAACGATGTAAATCAAGAATGTTCATCCAGTAGGATTCCAATCTCTCCTGGTGAGTGTTTATGACTTTTTTTAATTAAAGGCATATGCTATATACCTCTTGTAAGACCTGACTAAAATGATGCTTTTAAGGCTTGAACTTGCGAGTTGTTTTGTGCCTGTATTCTAATTTTTAGAAACTTTCTTTACCAAAATAATTATTTTAAAAACATCAATGCAAATATATAGCATACTAATTAAATGTTACAAATAACACCTTGCCAAAAAAATTGAAGATGCAAATATATTATTAATTTTGATTTTTAAAAGGAAACAACGTACCAAAATCTTCCTGTTTTAAAAGATGGGTCTTTTGGTGCTGAATGGATGCCTGACCTTACATCAGAGAGATGGCCCAGGAAAGCTGTAGGAGCTTCAAATTTCAAATTAAACAAGGAAGTGATGATTTTGTTTATCATGTTGCTGCTTATAATACCAGTTATTTAATAAAACTAAAAACATATTTCAACAGGCAGTTTACAAATAATGGATACTATAGGAAATTAGTATTAATTATTTGACCTAGTAATTTTATTTAAGTGTTGATTTGACTGCAGCCAGGGTAAAGTTAGCATTTTTAGGTATTTTCTTTTAAATTGGTCTTGTCCCTCTTTTGTTGTTTTAAGGAATGAGAAAAGTACTTTGGACACTCGTAGTAGCTTCCCCCCTACTCCTCCAAGTAATTCTTTCTCTTCTGTTATTGCATACTGTAAATCAAAACTATTTGAGAGCTGACCTTGCAATAGAGAGCAAAAAGGCAAAGGTGACACAAAAATGAGTATTTCTGTGTAGATACAGAGAGGAAGGAGGAGATGCCAGAGAGTCTTCATCAGTTGTCTGGATACAGTTCGCTATTATCCACAGTCCCGTCTCCAAAAGCCATCACCATTAATTGTCATGATCTGACAGATGTTTCAAAGGTAAGTAAAACTGGTAAACTCACTTGATTTCCTTTCTAAGGTTAAAAGAGCTTTCATTTTAGTTGCTTGCACTACTAGTGGAAAACAAGGAAACTATGTAAAACTACATCTAGGCATGTCTCTTAAAAATCCTCCTGATACGTAAATAGTGCTTGAAGTCACATTTTCTCTGAATTTTCCAGATTGAAAGTCTATCTGAAGATTTCTAGCTTTGAAGAGTGCACTAAATTTGTTGCTTTTAAATTGCAGGAAACCACAAGACAAAGAATGGAAAGGATAAGTAAAATGTAAGTAA